GGGCTGATCCCCCTGTCAAAGTGATTCAAGCAGCCCTTATTCTTGCAAAGGCCACAGAGATGCTTTGTGCTCTCTCAGCCCCCCCCCCAAAACTGCCCCTTCCCTGTTGCAACCCACCAGGCTACATCCTCACCCGCCTTTCTGGTAGCCCCATTTAAAGGCTTGATGGTCCACTTAGAAAAGGTGAAGATGTTCTGTGCTTAGGAAAAATAATGTTGATGTCCAAATTCTGTTGTGATTATGAATGGCCCTGCAATAATAAACTTGTCACAGCGGGCTCAGTGCCCCATCGTGCAACCCACAGCTGGCTAGTGACAGCCTCCCTTGTCCCCCATCACTATGCTCCCCCAATGCCAACCCACCCAAAAACAAGGAGCCGGTGTTCCCAGTGCTGCATGACCCTGGCCGGGATTAGAGATGCTGGTGACCTCTCCGGGCCCCTCTGCCCTACTGTCAGAGCTGAGCCGGTGGGGAAAACCGGAGCAAAAGCATCCAGTCACGACTGCGGCCACAGGAGGCAGCCGGCGAGACACGGCCCCGCAGACGCTCCGAGAAACGGGCAACCTCTGAGCCTCAGGAGAGCCGTTCCTCTCGGTGAAGGTCACAGCGGTGCAGGAGTGCAAATCAAAGTGGTACAGACAGCCTCGGCTGACCTTTGCAGTGTCTTGGGGCTTTGTGCGCAATGTGCAGAGCCCGGGCGCGTCTGCTGGGCTCCGACAGCTCCTGCAGAAAGGCAGCCAGGTGGGATCTAAAGGCATGAAGAGGGGGAGAAGCCACTGTTCCTCCCTTAGCCTGGGCTCTGGTTGGTCTCCAGCTTTTCACAGAACCATAAAATAGCTTGGGTTGGAAGGGACCATGGAGGTCACCTGGTCCAACCCCCCTGCAGTGAGCAGGGACACCTTCCACTAGCCCAGGTTGCCCAGAGCCCCATCCAGCCTGATTTCCTTTGGGGTTATCTGGTCGCTGCTTCCAGCAACTGCTGCCCCTGATTCTTCTTCTCTGTCCCTGCAGAAAGACCACCTCCACACCCGGTTGAGCAATTTCCTCCTTATACCCATTTCAGGTATTTCAGCTCTGTGTTCAAGCTCCCCCATCCTGTCTTCCGCTAAGTCAAGATGAACACACTTTTCCATAGCTTCTCTGTTTGGCATAGAACAAACAGCAATTTTTCTGCATTTTTTTAAGGCAGGCTGTTCATTTAGTAATAAATAAAATGCTGTGAATAGTCTGGGCTGGAGGCACCGGCCAGGAAACAAGCTCTCTTACTGGGGTTTATCCTTGCTTCGTAGGGCTGTGAAGTTCTCAGCCAAGCTGATGGGACAGGCCATGGCCAAGAGGGTCAAAGCGACCATCCTGTACGCCACGGAAACGGGGAAGTCGCAGGTCTATGCAAAAACTCTCTGTGAAATCTTCAAGCACGCTTTCGACGCCAAGGTATTGCCCTAGCTCCTGGCCTCTGCAAGATGACACATGCATCTGGGTGGCCCAAGGAAACACGTGGCTGTTGGGAAATACATGACTCAATGCATGTGAAGCTTCCCAGCTGCCAAGGGTCTTCAGCAGCTCCTGGGATATGAGCTTGTGGGTCTGGATTGAAGCCTGCAGAGGAATTTTTCCAGCTCATTTCCAGCTAATACTCCTGCAGGCATCATAGCATCCATATCTTCTGCCCCATGGTTTGTCCATGTCTCTTGGGGCTCCCTGTGTGGAGATGCTGGGGTGTGCTGCTCCCATCTCCAGCTGCACTGGGGTCCATCCCAGGAGGCTGGCTGGTGGTAGATCTTCACACCAAAAGCCTCTGCTGACATCTCTGTCTCTCCCAGGTGATGTCCATGGATGAGTACGACATTGTGCACCTGGAGCATGAAACCATGGTCCTGGTGGTCACCAGCACCTTTGGCAATGGAGATCCACCTGAGAATGGAGAGGTAGGACAGAGCATGGGGATGGGTGACAATGGCAGGGACACAGGCAGGAGAGAGCTTGTGGGGAATGGGGAGAAGCATCCCCTTTTTGGAACGGTCCAGGTCAAAATTCTGTGCAATACCTGGTGCTGTGCCTGCACCCCTTGGCTGGGGACCTGTGACTGGTCCAGCCCTGCATGACAGCATGGCAGCTGCTGGCAACAGCAAGCAGAGAGTGAAACTGCAGCCTACGCTTTGGTCACAGCTTCATTTCCTGCAGAGACTGGGAAAACTAATGGTTTGTTAAAATTTTTTCCCTGTAGAAATTTGGCTGTGCATTAATGGAGATGAAGAATCCCAACTCCAACCTGGAGGAGAGGAAGTAAGAGCACCCCAAAACCCTCCCTTCCCACTCAACCCCAGCACGCAGGTAGCCCTGCAGCCGGGACAGGCTGCTTCTCTGCCTTCCTCCTCTCAGAAGGGAGGACGAAATCGCCGCACAAGTTGTAAGTTTTTAGAGGTCCAGGGGATGGGACCTTCCTGGAGAGCCAGGGGATGGAGCAGGAGGAGGTCCCAGGGAGGACAAGGGCACCGAGTCTGGCATGCCTGTGGATTCCAGCTTGTAATTCCCTGGGCTGACATTTTAAAGCTTTCATCTTCAGCTGTAAGAGGTGGGCAGCTATGAAAAAAGCAAATAAAAGCAGGAATTCCCCCAAAATAATCAAATCTGAGAGCTGGGGTGGCTCAGGAGACACGAAAATAGTAAGATGTGGAGGTAGAAGGGAGTTCCCAGCTATGTGGATGTAGGCGGGGAAGGTTTGAGAACCAAATTTAACATCTTGCATCATATGAAAACATTTCTTAGGAAAAGAAGAGCTGTTATAGATTCCGGCTGTGATGTTTGTAACAGTAAGTCTGGAACCTTGGAGACAGGGTCTAGGGTTTTTAGAAAATCCCCCATCAGTGGAAGATGAGCCTCGAGCATCTTGGTGCACATCCCAGAGGTGGGGGAGTGAGGGCAGCCAGGATATGTGTTAATCATTTGGGACATCCTCTTATTTCAGCTATTAAGTACAATATATTTTGCTTAACTGGGACACTGCCCTGCTCCGGAGTCTCTCCCGAGTTAACACAGTGATGCTCACGACTGGCAAAAGGCTGTTCCTTAATTAAGGAAGAATTAGCACTGGCCACTGGTGCTATGCAATTTAATTTCTGCTTGAGCAGTGCTGGTGGGGCTGCAGAGCGGTGACATGGTGACAAACACCACCAGGCAGGGCAGGGATGGATTTGTACCTCTCTGCTGCTGGTGACACAGCAGCCCCGAAGTGTGCAGCCAAGTCACCTCATGGATCCCCGCAGGGCTCACCATCCAAAACCCATTCAGTTTCTAATGGCCTCATGCCTTAATGGGGACAGCTGACACAACGGGACATGCAGGCTGCCCTGGAGGTGTCTGGATGGAGAAAGGGGCATTTTACGTGTGATTCTGGCCCCAAGGATCTTCACTTTGTAGGGCTGGGTTGGTGCAACGTTGGGTTGGTGCAACACTGGGTTGGGTGCAACGTTGGGTTGGGTCCAACGTTCAGTTGGGTCCAACGTTGGGTTGGTGCAACATTGGGTTGGTGCAACATTGGGTTGGGTGCAACATTGGGTTGGTGCAACGTTGGGTTGGGTCCACCATTGGGTTGGATGCGGAGGGGCCACCCATGGCAAGCCAGGCAGATTGGAGGAGGACAAAGCACCAGAGCTTGGTGCTGGCTGTCCCTGTCACCTCTAAATGTAATTTAAGGATTTTCTAAGAGCCAGGGCAGCCTGTGGCTTGGCCACCTGACAGCAAAAGTGGTCAGAGTGCTGGAAACGGCGACTTGCGAGGACAGATCAAAAGGGCGAGAGCTATTTTGTCTGAAGCAGAGCAGACAGAAAGGCAGTGCAGTCGCAGACTTCCCTTACAGAAAAGGTGACTACAGAGGTGGAAGGAATAAATTACTCCTCATGGCTCCCCCCAGGATGGGCCAAGAGGTCATGGCTCTGGATGGTAGGAAGAGATGCTGATGTCAAGCATGAAAAAAAGCTTTTGCAATGAGAAAAATAATCCTGGAGCAGACCGTCTAGGGAAGAGGAGCAGGGTCAGCCTGGTGCCTGTAGGAAGGGTCTGGAGAGAGCAGGTCCTGCCCATGCACCCCCCTAGCTCCCAGCTCCGTGGGCACAAGGGGATGCTGAGGGTGCACCCCACGGGCTCCCAGCTTGATGGGCACTGAGGGATGCTGAGGAGCTTCCAGCTCCATGGGTACCAGGGGATGCTGAGGGTTCACCCCCCAGGCCCCCAGCTCCGTGGGTACCAGGGGATGATGCTGAGGGTGGTTGTGACCTGGTGGCCTCTCGAAGCCACAGTGTCTCCAGGAGCCTGCCAGGGTGCTGCAGCTGTGGCTTTCCAACCACAGCCCAGAGGTTTTCTGGGCAGAGAGGAGGAGGCTCTGGAGCAGAGGTGGAGCATGGGGCACTGTGACCCTGGCAGTTCTCTTGCTCGGGTGTTGTCTCCTTGGTGTGGCATGCCGGGTGCAGGAGGTCTGCTGTGACTCATCCACACACTACTGCTTCAGTGCTCCGGCAGTATATTTAGAAACTCTTGTGCAGAGCAATTTTTCAAGATGGTTCAATTCAGAAATACTTCTGCTGTTGGCAGATTTTTTTTTTCCTCCACTCCCCTTCCCCCTCCTCATCCCCTCTGCTCTTGCTCCTTTTTTTTTTTTTTCTTCTCACTTCCTATGAATGAAAAAACCTTCAGAATATCTGCTCAGACATACACCTGACCTTGTACGCAGCCAGGGAAGGACGGGTAAAGCCAGAGGTCCTGCCACTGAAGACAATGTGGTGGCCAACACCAGGGTCAACCCACTGGGAGGTGACTGGAGGACCCCATGGAGCAGAGCAGGTCCAGCTGGAGGGGTGCAACATATGGGGTGCTATGGCTTACCCCCAGGAGAGAGCACATTTCTCTGCTCTAGCCACTGAGACACAGCACAGGAAAGACATGGACCTGTTAGAGCAAGTCCAGAGAAGGCCACAAAGATGGTCCAAGGGCTGGAGCACCTCCCATCCAAGGACAAGCTGAAAGAGTTGGGGTTGTTCAGCCTGGAGAAGAGAAGGCTCAAGGGGGCTACAGGAGAGATGGGGGGGCTCTGGATCAGAGGATGGAGTTATGGGACAACAGGTGATGGTTTTAAGCTGAAAGAGGGGAGATTAGATGAGATATTAGGAAGAAATTCTTCACTGTGAGGGTGGTGAGGCAGTGGCCAAGGTTGCCCAGAGGAGCTGTGGATGCCCCATCCCTGAAGGGGTTCAAGGCCAGGCTGGATGAGGCTTTGGGCAACCTGGGCTAGTGGGAGGTGTCCCTGCCCATGGCAGGGGGTGGAATGGGCTGGGCTTTAAGGTCCCTTCCCACCCAAACCATTCCATGATTCTATTATCTGCTCCTGCTCAGGAATTGTTGAGCCCTGAGCTTGAGCCTGCTCGGATTTGGTCTCCTCCAGAGCCTGGTCCCCCCCACAGCCTGGTCCCCTCTGAGCACGCGGCGTGGTGGGAACCACACGCGCATTGGTCACCATCATTAATACGTGATGCTGTTGCTGTTCGCAGGAGCTACAAGGTCCGTTTCAACAGCGTCTCCTCTTACTCGGATGCACGGAAATCCTCAAGCGACGGCCCTGACTCCAGGGACAACTTTGAAAGCACAGGGCCACTGGCCAATGTCAGGTAACCGGGACAGGGTGGGGACAGTGACTTCTTGCTGCAGAAGGGACGGAGTGGCAGCCAGTGCTGCACAGAGCCCCTTTCTCGTACTGCATCCCTTTCTTGCCTAAAACATGATGGATTTTTGCAACGTGCAGATCCCTCTGTGCTCCCTCATGCTGGCATTGGCCATGGTGGGGCAGGATGGCGAGATGTCGATGTCCCCACAGCTTGGCAGCCACAGCTGTGCCACCTCTCCGCAGGTTCTCCGTCTTCGGGCTGGGCTCCCGCGCTTACCCCCATTTCTGCGCCTTTGCCCGGGCAGTGGACACCCTCCTGGAGGAGCTGGGTGGAGAGAGGATCCTCCGCATGGGAGAAGGGGATGAGCTCTGTGGCCAGGAAGAGTCCTTCAGGACCTGGGCCAAGAAGGTCTTTAAGGTAACCAGCTTCGCTTGGGCTCCAGGGGGGAGAAGGACATGGAGACAGAGCAAAGCTACTGGTTAGAGCTGGATCGAAACCCAGCCTCTCCTACATCATCTTGGCCCAGAATAAAGAGGTTCTCCACATTTTGGTGGAGCTGACGCTCTGGTTTGTGCTGACTGCCAGAGGGTGAACACTATGTTGAATGTTATCCCAGATTCCTGGGGGAGGAGAACCCCAGGAGATGTCCCCATGGCCACCAGTATAGCCCTACACCATTGGGGCCACCTCCTCCACGTGTTGGCTGAGGTGGGGTGGGAAAAATGGGGGTCGTAGGTCTTGGTTGGAAAGCCCAGGGGCAGCGGAGAGATGCCTGAGAGCCTGGTGTGTGCTGCAGGCAGCGTGCGACGTGTTCTGCGTGGGGGACGACGTCAACATCGAGAAAGCAAACAACTCCCTCATCAGCAACGACCGGAGCTGGAAGAGGAGCAAGTTTCGCCTGACCTACGTGGCTGAAGCCCCAGAACTCACACAAGGTATGAAGACAGGGTCACCCTGGAGGGCTCCAGGCATGGGGCAGGTGGAGGGGAAGATATAGGGGGCTCAAGTGGGGAGAAAGGGGATCTTTTTTTAAAATCTTGTTTATTCTGTGTTAAATTCCTGGCATTTCAGTCTTGCCTTTCCCCTCCAGGACACACCCAGGGAGCAGCTGGTGGTGGTCTCAGGCCCCTCTGGCCAGTCTCTGTCTGTACCCGTAACAGAGATGTTGGGATACAACCTGCTCTCCCTCCTCCTGACCCCATTTTTTAAAGTGAAGAGCTGGAATCCTGGTTGTTTTCCAAGCTCGCGCTGTCCAAATGCCGCTCCACGGAGCGTTGCGGTGCAATGGCAGGTCCAGCCCACGACACCTGGCCCCTCAGCACGGCTCCTGCAGCTGATGATCTGCCACACTGGCTCTGCTCTTCCCAAATTCGGGCATTTTTGCTGCCAGCCAGGTGGTTCTGGCAGCGAGAGGCGCATGCCTGCACGTCAGGGCACATCCCCGCGCCCCGTGAGGGTGGTTTTGGAGTCCTCCTTGGTCACTAACGACAGGGACACGTGTTTGGTTCCCCCCTGGGGTTTCTGATCCTGAAGCTTTGCAGGAGGTGGGGGCAGGAGGGTGGCCGAAGCCACGGTCCGCTTGCTGCAGCCGGCGCCGGCCAGCTCTGGTCCGAAGGGCTAAATCCGTGGCGGCGGCCAACAGCCCTGCGAAAGCCCGAAGCTGTCTGCCTTGGCCATGCTCCACGGCGTTGCTTCACCGCCTCCTCTCCTCTGCAGGACTGTACAGCATCCACAAAAAACGCGTCTATGCAGCCCGGCTGATCACCCGGCAGAACCTGCAGAGCCCCAAGTCCAGGTAGGACCCGAGCATCCCTGCACAGTGCTGCAAGCATCCCCTGGCCCCTGAACGTCCCGTGGCTACTGTCTTTGGGCAGACCCTCACCGAGGCTGGAAGCCACGTTAGCCCGGTGAAGGGTGTTTCCTGCCACCTTAGACAGGGAAATTTCTGCTGCTCCACAAATTAACCGTCTGCCTGGAAGGGTGAGAAGGTGGGTGGAGTGGCAGGGTGCGTGCTGAGAAAGGAGAAAATTGCTGAAGCAAGAGGTTAAATGGTTTTTCCCTTTCAAAAAGTCCCTGTGGGTGAGTCAGGGGAGGCAGACCCTGCAGTGTCCTTTCCAGCTCCCTGCTGTGACTTTGGTGCCCTGCTGAGGATATCACCAGGGCTTGGACATGCCACCACAGCCCAGCACACCCAGCAGCTCCTGTGGCCAGAGCTCAGCAGCTCCCTGAAGGTCTCCCCAACACGCATCCTGCTTTTTCTCCTTCCCCCGCAGTCGCTTGACAATTTTCGTACGTCTCCACACCAACGGACACCAGGAGCTGCAGTACCTGCCCGGGGACCACTTGGGCGTGTTTCCAGGGAACCATGAAGACTTGGTCAATGCTCTGATTGACAGGCTTGAAGATGCCCCTCCAGCCAACCAGCTGGTGAAAGTGGAGCTCCTGGAGGAGAGGAACACAGCTCTAGGTAACCAGGGCCATATCCACGTGGAGGTGGCCTCTCTCCTCCTCACCCATCCCTTGATCTTGTAGCTCCCTGGGGAGGCGGGTGGCCCCCAGAATAAATAATTTCCCATCTCACTGGTTCATTTGCCTGGACTGGGAGCACCTCCTTCAACCTTCCTCTGCCCGAAGCCGTAACTCTTCTGCATTTGGGGTGTAGAGCAAGGGTTTGAACGGTGAGCAGGGACCTGGGGAGATGATGTTTCCTTCTTCTTCAGAAAATGTAAAGGTGTTTATATTCTCATGGAAAGAGCAATGTCTAGGACTGGAAAAAAAGAGTTAAGGTATCTTGATGGACCATCCCAACGCTGTATTTCGGGGATAAGTCTGATCCTGCCATGCACAGTGTATCAGGAGATGGAAAATGGTATTAACTCGGCATGACACAGGCTGATGGTGGTGGAGTATCAGACTCATTTGTGCTCATTGTAGAGCATCTCACTTTTAGCATTAGGATATCTCTTTGACTCTTCTTTCCAGCTCTTCATCATTCTCTGTCTTAGCTTTGATAAGTGGAATGAAAGCAAGGATTTGTCCCCCTTGGCTCTCATGCTCAACTGATCCTATGGTTGTGCTGAATTCCCTCCTGGCAGGTGTCATCAGTAACTGGACAGACGAGAACCGTGTCCCACCATGCACCATCTTCCAGGCTTTTAAGTACTATTTGGACATCACCACCCCTCCCACACCCCTGCTGCTGCAGCAGTTTGCTTTGTTGGCCACCAGTGACAAGGAGAAGAAACGTCTGCAGGTCCTTAGCAAGGTAAAGACCTCAGACCCCAAGCACCCTGGGGACAACCACAGCCCCAGGGCATTTTTCATCCCACACCGTGGTTAGGCTGAGTCTCTACCCCACCTGCCTTCACCGCCAGCCACCACAGCCTTGCCCTAGCCCTGGTTGGATATTGGTAGAGGCACCTGGCTTGGAAGAGGTTGGTGCCCTCCTCAAAAAAATGCAGGGCTTGCAGGAGTACGAGGAATGGAAGTGGTCCAAGAACCCCACCATCGTGGAGGTGCTGGAGGAGTTCCCCTCCGTGCAGATGCCCTCCACGCTGCTGCTCACCCAGCTCCCCCTCCTCCAGCCGCGCTACTACTCCATCAGCTCCTCCCCAGAGATGTACCCAGGCGAGGTCCACCTCACCGTGGCAGTGGTCTCCTATCGCACCAGAGGTACCGTGCTCAAGCAGGGGTCAGTGGAGACAGGGAAAAAGCAGCAGCACATGGGCAACACCATAAGGTCTTGGCAGAGAGATGTTATTTCAAAGCCTTTCTACCCTCTGTAGTGACTAGATTCCTTCAACCCATGACACTGCTGTCCCATGTGATGGGGAACGGCCATCCATCAAAGGGTGGGGTATTGCAGAGATGCCAGATCTGGGTCAGGTACCAGCAACAGACCATCCACAGCATCTCCAAGTTCCGTGTGGGATCGTGTTTGCCCGCTCCAGAGTCCACGTTGCCACAACCAGCCAAATTTCTGGACTTGTGCAAGCACTGAGGTGTCCAAGCAGCCCTGGCCATGGTGTAGACAGACACAGCCCCGTCACCCCTGCAGCAGGCAGGACATGGGGAAGACACCAGCCATACATCTGGGGCTGCCATGGAGGGCTTGTGTCTGGAAGCACCACAGCATGATGCTGCTTCTCCCAAAAAGGACCAGTTGGGTGCTTCCTAAGTGGAGGTCCAGCAATCCCACGGCTGGGTCCTGGGTGAACCTGGGTAGCTCTGCAGTGGGATTCAAGTGCCAAACTTCTGACAAGTTCTGGGGGAGGGATGCAGAGATACTGAAGGTTTCAGTGAGGTGTGTATGTGGAAATTCGCAGGGAGGGTTTCAGAAGGAAAGCAGCTGGAGCAGTTGGCTGGTGTGTCAAGTCCCGACCTCCTTTTCTCCCCTCCTAGATGGAGAAGGACCAATCCACCATGGAGTCTGCTCCTCCTGGCTCAACCGGATACAGACCGATGAAGTCGTGCCCTGTTTTGTAAGAGGGTAAGTGGGGTCCACACAAAGCAAGGGGTGAAAAGATGGGGTGAGCCCGGGATGAGCTCTTTGCCCTCAATTCTTCTTTGTGAAGCACTACGGGTGTGGAGAAAACAGGGCTGGATTTGGGAGCAAGTGGGTCCCTCTCAGGTGCAGTTCTTCTGCACTAAAATGTCGCTTTCTGGGATTTCACCTCGTTTTCTACCCCTCCCTTGCTGGGTGGTGTCTAAGCTTGCTGTGGGCAGAGCTGAGGGAGGGAGCATCCTGCTTGGGTGTAATGGGTACCTTCACTGTGTGCAGCGCGCCCGGGTTCCACCTACCCCAGGACCCCCAGGTGCCGTGCATCCTCATCGGCCCCGGCACCGGCATCGCCCCTTTCCGGAGCTTCTGGCAGCAGCGGCTTTTTGAAATCCAGCACAAAGGTGGGTCAACACTTCTTCCTCCTGTTCCTCATCTCAAGTGGTGCTCAGGAACCCTGGGCATGGGGATGGGGGTCCAGGCTCCTGCCTGGGCTGCCCCAGCAGAGGCAAAGGGCTTCTGGAGGCAGTGGCGGTCCCAAGTGCAGGCTTGGAGGTCAGCCCCAACTCCCAAAAGTAACTCCATGAAAATCCTTCTTAGCAAGTTTTCATGGAATCATGGAATTATGGAATGGTTTGGGTGGGAAGGGACCTTAAAGCCCATCCAGTGCCACCCCCTGCCATGGGCAGGGACACCTCCCACTAGCCCAGGTTGCCCAAAGCCTCATCCAGCCTGGCCTTGAGCCCCTCCAGGGATGGGGCATCCACAGCTTCTCTCGGCACCCTGGGCCACTGCCTCACCACCTTCATGATAAAATATTTCTTCCCCAGATCTCATCTCCATCTCCCCTCTTTCAGCTTAAACCCGTTCCCCCTCGTCCTGTCCCTCCACCC